TGCGCCCTCTGCAGCCTGCGGCCCTGCGCCCCGCCTTCAGCTTTCGGGGAAGGACGTGCCAGAGGAAATGCAGCTTCGCTTCAGAGAAGCCTGGAGGGCCCCAACCACCCCGGGGTCCGACCCGGGGTCCATCCCGGGGTCCGCCCTGGTGTCCGCCCCCGGGTCCATCCCAGGGTCCACCCCCGGGTCCATCCCAGGGTCCACCCCGGTGTCCATCCTGGAGTCCGCCCAGGGGTCCGCTCCGGGGTCCATCCCGGGGTCCGCCCCAGCCAGACCTCCCTGGCACCCGCGGCGCCGGCCGCTCACCCTGGATGATGGCCAGCAGGATGACGATGACGAAGAAGAAGAAGGTGATGTCGAAGATGATCCGGTAGATCTCGTACTCGTCCCCCGCCGGGTCCTCGATCTCATCGCCAATGCCGCCCCCGGCGCGGACCCCGACGTACATGTGGAACATGTAGCACTGGGGGAGAGACGCCGTCACCCCCCGCACGCGACGCCCCGGCGACCACGACGCACCCGAGGCGGCGTCTCCTAGACGAGACCGCGCGCCCGGACCTGCCGCGCTTTGCAGAAAATGCAGAAGACCCGCGGGCATCCGCCGACGCGGTCAGCGGCCACGTTCAGGGTGCGCTGAGGCCCGCCGAGCTGCAGACCTCAGGCTGCTGCTCTGGCTTCTTCCCTCCCTGCGTTCCCGAGTCCCGAACCTTCCCCTGCGCCCCGCCCGAGACACCGCACAGTATTTATTACTGGCCACTGGCTAGCGAGTTAATGTTCAACCTAAAGACTGCAGTTGTTTTTATATATTTTTTTTAGCATAATAGACCCAGCGTCCGGGAAGTAAGACCCCAATATCTGTAACAAGACGGAGTATTAGAAATAAAATGAGAGGCCCCCTGGGGCTGCAGGGGCCAGAGCCATTGCTCTCTCCAGATGCCGCAGCCACGCAGCGCGAGGTCGACCCCCGGCCAGGGGGGACCCCAGGGCACCGCAGACCCCTCCTGTCTCCCCTCTGCTCCCCTCAGCAGTGTGCGTCAGTCCATCTGCCTGTTCTGCTCCCTGCTCTGTCTCTGGGGAGTCCGCCCACCCCTGCACCTCTGGCCGGTACCCAAGTTCTTGTGTGCGTAAATAAATAAATCTTTAAAAAGAAATTAAATTAGAGCAAAGCAGGCCTCATTTCCCTGATGGTGTAATTTTTTCCTAGTTTAATACCTAGAACAAAGGCCCAGGAAGGCCCAGGATGAGCAGCTCCCTGTGTATACCCCGAAACAGGAGTGACCAGCAACAACTACAGCTGGGAGTGAAGGCTAAATGAAAGGGGGGGGCTCAGAAAAGTGCCTGGGGGCTTCTCGGGCTCAGCAGCAATGGTGTTTGGAGCCACCAGGGTCTGTCCTGCACACCGCAGCGTATTTTAGAAGGACCCTGGCTCCGCTCACCCAACACCAGCTACAGCTCACTCCGCAGACAGCCAGACACCTTCAGGCCCCGGCAAACGTCTCTGGGGGAAAGTCACGGCCGTTGAGACCCACTGGCTTAGAAACCTCAGGCCCACTGCCGTCGCTGCTGTCTGAATAACAGACAGGGACCCGCAGTCACCGTGGGGTGGATGAAGAGAAGTGTCCTGACTGTCCAGGCTTTTAGGTTTCTTTCTTTCTTTCTTTTTATGACCTTTATTTATGTATTTTTACATTGCTGTTTCTTACAGAGACCTAGCTGCCCCAGCCCACAGAGCTGTCACTCACAGATCACTTTAAAAGGTTCAGAGACGACTCAGCCACCAAAAAAAATAAACACCTGCCTTTTGCAGCAACATGGATGGAGCTGGAAGGGATCGTGCTTAGTGAGATAAGCCAGAACGAAAAGGAAAAATACCGGATGGTTTTGCTCACAGCAGGAGCATAAGGGACCAGGCGAGACAATAATAATTATAATGAACAGCTATAGACCAGAGACATTGTACCGGGGAGGGGATCAAAAACGCTGGGGGGAAGGAAATGCACTGGACTTCAGTGATGGCTCACAGGTGAGCCGGTGATGGGAAGCCCACAGGATTACAACTGAGATGGAAAAAACACACAAAATGATGTAAAAGAAACTATAATATTATTTTTTTAAAGGGGGTACATAGAACAGGTGGCTTCAAAATGAGTCGATACATAGAGAAAACAAGCAAGCTCCTGGGTCAGAAGCCTGCAAGTGAGCAACAGAGCTAAGTACAGACGGCGCCACTCCGACAAACAGGAGCGTAGGCTGCCCCACCGTTCCCTCCCCGGAACATTCTGGTGCTCAGAGAAGGAGCTCTTCTTGCAGAAGCCCCAGAGTCCTTTGCACGCTGACTATACCTGGGGGCACTGGGTGCTGTGCCCAGACTCCCTGAGGTTGATCATGGCAGAGGCCTGAACCACCAGAGTCCTGAATCGGTCTCTGGAAGCAAAATGTTTGCGGATCTTGTCCCTTGGGGTAAACCCCTCAGGACACAGCCGTCATTTCTTGAAATGTTTATTTTGAAACAGCTGAACTGTTCACAGTGGATCTCTGGAAAGAGGAGATCTTATTTGTGCTGTACACACTTCCACGCAGCGACAAGTATGTTTCCCATGTACATTTTAATTTTCCTTAAGAAGCGCCTGGCGTTCTTTGTTTGCTCCAGGCCTGCCTCCCCGTGCGCTTAACTGCGGCCACAGGCTTTGGGTAGTTAGTGCAGCTGCTGACATCTTCGTTAATGAGCGGACACAGGTCACCTTTCCCTGGCTTCAAAGTTGGTTATTTGTAACCCCCTCGCTGGCACGGGGACTCAGAACCGGCACATGTCCATGTCAAATCCCGGTCCCTGGCTCTCCAGACCAGCCCTCACAGCAGCTAACAGTGTATCACTCTGGGCCTGTGGCCTAGAAAGTCCTCGCTCCCCCCAGGTCTGCTTATTTGACATGTCTGTGACCAAGCTTGTCCAGCTAATTCCCCTGGATAAGGCCTGCTGCCAGGACTTCTAGATTATGACGTCGCTTCCCACAGGGAGTTTTTCTACAGCTAAGAGGTCTTGTGACTTGGGTGTTGGAATCCGACTCAACTGTCTGACTCTGTCTCGGCTGGATTTTCTGAGTCTGTCCTCAAGGAAATGATTCACTTAGGTTCTAGACATGCAACCTGAAGGCAAAATGTGCAATAACCCCAATATCAAAGTGAATGTCCCCTTTTCAGTCTCTGCTCAGCCGCCTCGCGTCTCCCGGTCCTCCCTGTCTCCCTGACCTTCGCGCTGACAGCTCTAAGATCTGTGAGGAAAGGCGCCAGCCGTATCTCAGTAACAGATGCATGGTTGAAACCACAGGTAGACTCTTGTAGGTTTGATTATTTATTCCTGTTGAAACCACAGGTAGACTCTTGTAGGTTTGATTATTTATGCTCAATGAAACACCAAACTAAATGGAGTATGCACAGATACTGATTTATAAAGATGCACAATTGAAATCAGTATTATGCTGTGATGTTAGTTCAATATAAAATAAACATACGTGTGTAATACACAGGGGCTGTGGAATTTTCATATTATTCCCCGACCTTATCCTTCCTCACCAGACTATGCCCAGACTAAACCAGGGTGACTGCCGTGGTGGGCTACGAGGTAGCTAACACTCCCTCACTTGGGTTGTCAGGCTTTCAGCCATCAAATTGTCATTCAGCTCCCGAAAAGGAAACATCTTTTCACCCACCTCCCTTTTCCTCTTCACAGTATCAGCTTAAACCTGACGATGAGAGCTAGGGAATGGAAAGAAGTGATTTGGGGAGATGTCAAGACACTTTATGCAGAGCATGATTAATGAGGGGGGCCATGCCTGGTGCTACGGAAACTGGGAAGAGACAGGTGTTCATCGTCGAGATTGAACATTCTCTGGCTTTCCCCTCATCCATCTCCAAAATGGTTCATTTTGCTCCTTGTTTATACTGAAGAAATTGTGAGGAGGACCAGTGTCTATGAGTTGGTAGAGTCCTTTATGTCGGCAAAAAACAAGAAGAGAAAGGGATGAGGGAGGGAGAAGAGGAGAGAGAGGAGGGAGGAGGGAGGGAGGGGAGAGAGAAAGGCAGAGAGCAACGGCAGAATGGGCTAAGGGAGGGACTCAGAACAGCTACCTGGGCAGTTCACTTCCTTAGGAGAGCACTTTCTATGGCAACCACCTGGAAACCTGTTCCCAAAATAGGCAGGTCTTGATTCCGCCCCTGCAGTCTCTGATTCAGCAGATCTGGGCCTGGCCTGCCAGACCTGATGGTTTCTAAAGAGCTGCCTGGGCAAATCCTCTGTGCAGTGAGGACAAGACCCTTTTGAGGCGAATGTCCTTACACAGGTACCTCAAGCCAAAGCTCTGGCTACCCGGCTTGCATCACTTCTCTTCCCTAGATGTTAGATCGCTTCTCAGTTTCTCCTACATTCTTGGAGAGGAGGTTCCAATTCTATCAGGATGCTGCTGGTTTAATTAGATCCTCAGGCCCCAAACATCATGATCTTAAATAAGTAAGCAAAGAAAGCCACCCAAGGCAGACGCGTGGTTGAGTCTGCCAAACTGCAGCAACTGCACCACCTTCTGGATGTTTCGGAGCCAATGCGTGGATGTATGCTCGTGAAAGCCCGGAACATTCACTGAGACCTAAGGTCAGGATCTGACACCAGACAACAGGGACTCCGGGGACACTGATAAAATCTGACACAGTGAGAGAACTCGAAAAGAAATGCCAGAGAGCCTGGCATGAAGAAAGACTCTCTTTTGAAAGAAAATGAACGGAATTAAATCCACGACTTTGGCTCCTGCACCTGGGTTCCGCCAGCTGGCGACTTCCCTAAGCTGCTACTCTTCATAAGCACCGCTGCGAGTGGCCAGTTAAGGCGAATCCTGCTAGCTTTTCAAAAGCTCACTGTATCAGCCTTCCTCAGAGGAGACTATAAGTGGGGGGGGTTAAAGATAAAGCTGCGGCTTAAGCGGTGACCTCTGGGCATGACTTCCAAGGACAGTTAGCTGAATGGAGTGTTTGCCAAACTCCACACAGTTCTGGCTCATCCGGCCGGCTGGAAGCAGCACACAGGTGTGAGAGCAAGGACTGTAGATCAAGTTTGTATCTTACAACCAAGCTTTCTCTTGCAAGTAAGAAAGAAGGAAGGCACGTATGTAGGGTTACCAACCCCACCATCCCGGTCAAAGGTAAGCGAGTGGGTGCACAGAGAAGTGAACCCCAGAAGGACAGGAAGCCCTCCTCTGCGCACCCCAGGCTCGCGCTCAGCCTTGAGCCTGTTGTTGAAAACATGGTGAGACATGATTTCCTCATTCTAAAGTGAGGCAGACTTTTCTACCCTACATGGTGTCCATGAAATTGGGTAAAATCAACACGGAAAGGCATCGGTTTTCCTATTCTACCCTTGTTCAAGTGATGCATGGGTTTTTCTCCTCATAGCTTCTTATTCACTCATCAGATAGATTTACTAAATAATTCATTTGCTCAGGACCCTACTGCTGGTCATTTAAATTAGTTCCCATTTGTGCTACCAAAGGCTACCTTGAACATCCACAGGCTATTTGCAAATTAACAGGTCGGTGGATCACGGGCCCTGGAACTGACAAGGAGTCAGCACACGTGAAAATACCGCAGGTGGGTAAAATGTCTCTAAAACGGTGGTGCTAATTTAAATTCCCAACAAGTGTTCAAGGAAGTGCCAGTTTTTCAATCACTTCAATAACTCTGGGTATTGACAAACTTTAATGCTCTGAACACCTGTAGGTAAAAAGTGGCAATTTATTGTTTTGATTTGCATTTCTCTGATTATGATAGAGGCTGGCATCTTTCCATTTTTACAAGTTAATTGAATTCATTTCAATGTGATTTGTCTGGTCATACAGGCATTTTCTCATTGGCTTGTTTACTGAGTTTGTGAACAGAAGTTTATAAGTTACAGAAGCAGGTAATTCTTTGGCATTTGCTAAATACGCTTTCCCCAGCTTGTCATTTCTGATTATTACTGCTGGTAGTTTTTCCTATTTGATTTTTTATGATTCTGGGTTTATATCATACTCAGGAAGACCTTTTCCTGTTTAAATTTTATTTTTAGTTCAAAAGACAAATTCTATCCTAACATTTTTTGTTTCTTTCTTCTTCTCTTTTACATTGAAACATCCATCTAGGAATTCCTTTAAGTCACTGGTATCCATTTCTATCAGGTCTCCTCAAGAGGTGTGTACATGGTACCAATACCATGTTTTGAATTATTTTTCATTTCATAATTTCAAGTCACATTTTTCATATTTTAAATCTCCATGTGTTTCTGAATCTATTTCTAGACTCTCTTTTCTGTTCCACTGATTTATTGTTCTCAAGTACAAAAATATGTTTTCTAGTAGAAGTCTGGGTAACATTAGTAATTCCCACTACTAGAATAATTTTAGTATTATTATATCTGCTTGTTTTTCTTATACCTTCATCTCCAAGAATGTGGGTATCTGAATTTGAGCTCATTCTTCAATGCATGTTTTCCCAGCTAACGTTAGATGTTGTGTCTGATTTTTCCCTTCTTGATCTTAGATCTCATGGATGGCATTTCTGATCTATCAAAGTCATACAAACATATTATGATAAAGTAATGTGAAAGACTTAGTATTTGCGGATTTGAAAATAAAGACTAAAAAGGCAATCAAGGCCAGGATACTCAACATAGAAGCAAAACCTCAGAGTTCTGTTGAGAGATATAGAGCCAAACTCCAGTAACTTCAGATAATAGCATCAAGGTGAGCAAATGACTGAGGATTCAAAATATGCTCCAAGGAACTTATTTGACTTGCTCTCCTGGACTATAATGAGCAATGGACAAATGCATTAATAATCACCCTCCCAGCATTAACTATTTTACTCAGAAATTGTAGTCATTATCAGAAACAGTCCCATATGTTTGGAAAAAAGCAGAAAGTGGTTGAATCACACAGTTTCTAACAAAGCACATTATTTTATCTTCTGTACTGTTATTGAGCAGCTACACAATGATTTAAATGGAGGACATAGGAGAAATTCTTTCATTCATATGAGATCAAAGAGTATTCACTTACTGTTAGCATATCATCACATTTCATATCTGGTGTATCGCCATCTTCGCTTTTGTTGTAGAATTTTCGGAAAAAATTGAATGCCACAACCGTATACAGGTAAACAACAACAGCCAGCAAGCCAACCGTTAATACAAGCTGAAAAAATAATGTGACATTGGACATGTATTAGCCATCAAGACACCTGACGGCCTATCGGGGATCTGTGTGGGTTGGCAACACCTGAGCACGTGGCTGCGTACACTGAGCAGACGCCAGTGGACCCCCACTTCGCAGCCTCCTTCCTTCCCCACCCCTGTACGCACAGACTCATTTTCCTACTCTCTTTTATCAAGTTACTTACTTGTCTGATTTTGTGCAAAACTTGATAGCTTCAGTGGTTAATAAATGTGTAGCTATGATTGGAACAGGAACACACTCTGATTTAGTTTTACATCCAAATTCCTTGATAATATTAATGAGCAACTTAAAATTTTCATTATTTTATCCTCTAAATATTTAGAAGTGGATACCACAGTGAGTACTTTCTATATTTGTAAAAGTTCTATTTCCTTTAAATGATTTACATTTCCATTATAAACTATTTTCTCTTAATAGCATTCGAAAGCTAAATGAGTCTGTGTTAGTTCTAAACTCCAAAAACACACAACCATTAATTTCTGTAAAATAAATATTTTGAAAAATAAAAATGAGAAATCTTGTTTTGTTAATGTAAAATAACAAATAGATATTAACCAAGCTATTTTGAAGGTTAATTAAATGTCAGTTTGCAAAGGCTTCCTTCAGTTCTATGTAGCCTTTCTTAAATTCCCGTCTACACTTTTATTGACTGCATGTGTGTGTTAAATATATACATCCTAAGTTGGTGAAAATATATACCTGGTTATATCACAAAGTTCCAGTCACACTAAAATGTATTCATGTTTTATGTCTACTTCCTCTGACTGCAGTGCACCCCTGTGTTCTTGACCATGATAGTAAACATTCAGGTTTTTCAAAAAATCATTTCATAAATAACTGGAGAAAACACTGCAAGGAAAGTCCCAAGGTGAGTGAAAGTTGTGTCAGACTGAGCATGTGAACACTTCGCGCTGGAGCCAGGTATGTTGGATTCGCATTCGGAGTCACATAAGATGACTTGTAAGAACTATGTGTTAAAATTTCGAAAACAGAGATCATGATAATGCAGATTGAACTATGAACACAGACCAACATTTTGAAAGGGACACTAATTAAAAAAATGATTGGGTTGTAAGCTTTTGAGAAAGAAGGCCTCTCAAGCTCAGTAACTCACAGAATGTGTTACCTCCCAGTGGACACTTTACAGAGAATGCATCAACATACACTTCTGTAATAAATTTCATGATAATGAAAGCATTTTACCATCGCAATCATGTGTCATTAGAAGGTAAGCTGATTACATGAAAGTATGTCAGTTTACACCAAGTAAGTATGACTTTGTCAACAAGCAGACATTATTTTTTTTTGTTCCACTAAAAGTAGAGAAAAGAATGTATGACTATTCAGTTTTAAAATATCACATTGTAATAATACTATAACATCTCACGTTTTATCATTACAACTGGTGCATCGGGATTCTGCAACACATTTTAGTACCCCGCAGTACCCACTGGAGCACATTTTCATTGGGCACAGAATAATTAACTATTTTTCTGTCTATTTAATATTTGCCAGGGCCTGAGTAAGAACGTCTGCATTTATATCCTAATTTATAACCGCCTAAAGGTAAGTATGTTTAGTACACTCATTTTACAAAATAGGGGTGTTGAGATTTAAAAATGTTAACGGAATCATCTGAAGCTACTACTCCAGATAAGACTCAAACATAGGTTGCGGGAACTCTTCAAGTAGGAAGCCCCATGGTTTATAGAGAAAAAGCACAAACCATCTGTGTGCAAAAATCTTTCAAACTGTCTGATGTCATTTGAGGTTTGGTTTCATTTTTTGCTATAGTTGTTGATGTTTGGTTTCAACAGGGAAGAAGGGTTAAGTTTTTACCTGTTTGCCATTGTGCGTTACTGATGACAAGATGGTTCTTAAGGTCTTGAATCCCATAGCAATGTCAAGAAGATGGGCAGCGAAAAAAAAGTTGTTATAGTGTCCAAGAACGGACATAGTCATGTACCAGGCTAGGTAGAGGAAGGACTGTGAAGAGGAAACAGGGAAGCATATCAGGAAATAGAATGCGTGACTACTGTCAAACCTGCTCTGTTTGACAGTAACCTGTTGCAGTTACTCCATTTACTTTTACTTTCAAAAACTCTAAGTTCATATAATTCTAATTAGTCACCTAGGTTTGCTTCTATATGTCAATTTTATTTAGTTCTGAAAGGTTCAATATTACACTCTCCTCTGTATCACAGAACACAAAGTTGACTTCCTACCTGACTTCTCAACCATGGAGCTATCTGTACCTGGGGCCAGAGAACTCTCTATGTGGAATGTCCTACCATTGTGGAGCAATGGTAACACCCTGGTCTCTGCTCCCTTAATCCCTTGATGCCAGCATCACCCCGACTCAGGGGTGACAACCAAAACCACCTCCAGAAATTGTCAAAAGTCACCTGGGTAACAAGTTGTCCCCATTGGGAACCCACGGTCTAAAATTAACCAAAACCTACCAACTTTCTCACCCTCTTTCATTTTTCATTTACCACTCACTAGTATTTGCTGAGCTAGAGATGGTGGAGGAATGGGGATAATAAAGTCGAATAAAATATTGTCATAGCTCTTAATTGCTTGGATCACAGTCACTTTACATAAGACTTGTTCTGCCACTGAAGTCAGGAGCTACCTATTATGGGAAGAAGATGACCGTCACTTTGACTACAGTAGATCTTACTTTTTAAAAGAGAACAAAAGCAAGACAGAGGGGACTGAAGTGGTATAAGAGATTTCATGAGGAAAATGAAAAGGGATTTTATGTGGGTCTGAAACAAGAGATCAAGAAAACACAGTGACTGAGAGACGACCACATGGGGTGTGGTCAGGAAAGACATCTCGGATTGTTTTGTTTCAGAAGATGAGGCTACATGGGGGAAGATGAAAACTACATGGGGGGAGAGGTTCTGGAGGCTAAGCCAAGCCACAGGTACAACCCACAGGCACACGCCACTGGAGCACCATGGCTAGAACTAAGGGCCATGGAACCAGCAGCTCTGACATTGTCGTGAGTGTCTTGGGTAGTGGTCACTGTCATAAATGTGTGCGCATATGGCATTTTCTTCTGGTAAGACTCAAGGTAGATATGCAATGAGAAGCCTGGTTTGTAAATTAATTTCACTCATGTAAAGTGACTTTCTAAAAAAAAAAAAAAGCCGTTTGTGGCAGGCAGGGCTATGACATCATGACATTAGGAGATCCCTAGAAGAAGCCATGGATGAGGTTATGAGAGCCAAAAAGAGTCACAAAATCAGTGAGGGTGAAAGAGAAGATGACAAAGAACATGAGTAGGATGAAGATCAGACAAATAATTACATGTGTATCTTGGAGGAGATGAAACAGGAGGAACCCAAAACAATTTGGGCTTGGGTGTCAAGAAGAACAAAAACCAAAAATCTGGAAGGCAGAGCAGATGACATTTCTCATGGGACCTTCAAGCAAACATCTCTAGTGCATTTACAAATGAAGGACAAGTTTGTGGACACAAAGTAGAGAGATCTACATAGTGACAAGCTGAGCCAAGAACATGGGGGACTGTGTGTGGTTGCCAAATAATCTCAAAACTCCATGAAATATTCAGAATATACTGAGCTAGGTACAGATCTATGCACACTTCTGTATTCATTTATTTACACACATGTCATTCCAGCTAGACTCCTGATAGGCAGGAGTTACCTGAAAGTTAGTTCTCTAAGAGAACGCACACACGCATTTAGTTAACTGTTCTTTCAGTTTAACTGGAAACCCTGAATTTTATTGGGCAACCCTGGCTATATTTCAGAGAGAATCTGTGCTGCTGAAGACTAAAGAGTGTTGCGAGAGGTGATGGAACAAGTAAGAGCCATGGCATTGTAGGTGGATGAAAGCATAAGAAAATATTGCAAAGCTGTCTAAAGAAGTTTCTTCAGATTCCCTCCAGGACTGGTCCATGCCCCAGTTCTCAGTAGGACAAGACCTCTGCAGAGCAAGATGAATGTTATAAATAGACTATGCTGGAACAGAAGCAGACTGTGTGATTGTAAGAACTGACCTTACAGGCAGAAGCAAAGACCCCTGGATACTTGAATGGAAACTCCCGACGCTGGAGTTGAGATGGCCTCCTTTTCACGCACAAGATTTGCTTCTGTTTTTAGATAGGAAGTTTGCGGCAAAACATCCTCTAAACAGCTGGTAATTCTAAAGGATACTTTCAAGACTTGATTGTGTGCTCTTAGTGTTCTCTTAAGACCTACAGAGTTCTGGGTCTGTGGATGGTGCACCAGGCACAGCAGCGGAGTCAGGAGATTGTGGGGGATGTGGTAGGTCTTTAGAAGGGAACTACTGTTCACTGTACGTTAGAGCTAACCTGAGAACAAGATTTTAGGATGAAACAAGGTAATTAAGAGCATACATGGCAGCCAGAAAAGCAAAAGATCTAGCAGTTATGTTCATATTCACAGACGCTATGGGAGGATGAAGAGAATCATGAAGCAGTGATGAGGGGATGGGCTGAGATCCCACAGCAAGTCACCTTTAACTTATGTAGCTAAGCTTCCTGTTTTCTCTAGAAACTTCCTATGTCAGCAAATGGAAGCTAAACAAAACTGATGGTAAAAATTACTTAAGCTGAAAATTCTAAGAATCGAAAATGTAAGGCTTTTTTAGGCAAGCCAGGGTGGTTAAATGCCTATTTGGGTCATAGGCTCTTTGATGCAAGAAGGATCAATCAAAAAAAAAAATGAATAATGTGTTAATTTAAGGAAAACTTAATTTATCACAATTAATATCCACAATGTCTCCTTTTAGCGTCTATAAAACACTGATGCATGGTATTGAAACCTCAGTGAAAATACACATGAATTTGCATTTCCCTTTCTTTTGCTTATGTAAATATATTTCCACTTAAATCCTCCAGCTATTTATTGAAAGAAGCAGAGTGGGAGATGACTTGTTAATCATGTTTTTGTGGGTCTTTCTCAGATGTGCCGGGTATTTAACAACTTGGATACTCGAGGAACACTTCCAAGATAACCATCTTTCCGCCTGTGGAAGCCAGCAGGCTCTTCTCATCAGAGCACATGTGACTTGGTGGTGATGAAGCAGGCTTACATTGTCCGTGAAAACCACTCCCAGTTTCCACATCTGATACTTCACATCGATTGAGTTGAGTCTGCAATGACAGAAAAGAAGACGCTGTAGATCTGTGCATCAGGAGGGACCCCCTCTGGCAAGAGCCTGTTTGCACTGAGTCTCTATAAAATGAGACAGGCGACCATCTCAGCTTTAAGCAACACACATTTGGACTTGAGTGGTCTGATACATGGCTATGTTCCTGCCTGCTGGCTCTACATTCACCCATTCAACCAACCTTGGATGTTAGTGCCTAAGGATTCTGGTATCTACAGGTGACTCTAAAACCAACCCCCTGTGATTACCAACAGACAACTGGAGTTAGGTTTTGGGGAATCAAAAGTTAGAAAAATGTCTAACCCATAAATCAGTGCAGAAAGATGGGAGGTGGGGAGCAAACCCAACGGAGGTTGGGCTTGCTGATTATGGTGGAGGACTGATTACGTGATTGCAACGTTTTTAGAAACAAAAACAACACATTTATACTCATTCAAGAAAGTCCCTTCTTTTTCACCTTGTCTTTGGCCACATGCAATGTGAGGAAGGTTTAACTTAGAAAAAGGTGCTTAGGCATCCACATGCATTGACAACTCTCCTTAATTTGCCAGGGAAAGGGCTTTTTCAGTTTTTGCTTCCCATTGTTTTTCAGAAAGCACGTCTTCAATAGTCTAGAATGAATGCAACCCTTCCCCTTGGGTCCAATAAAGGGACGCAAACACCTCTCTTTGGTATCAACTCCCATGCTGTAGGGCAGGCAGAGGCATTCAGAAGCGAATGTGCACTTAGGACTCTTTCTAGTCTGAACTCCAAGCATCAAGCACCTGTCTCACCACCCTTAATCAACAGAATGACTGACTCGTTGCGTAAATGTGCTGATCTATGCAAAATAAAATACATACGGATTAAATGTAGTTTATAATTTCATTACTTTAGAAATGGTCACTGATTTATGGGTTAGACATTTTTATAATTTTGTTAGCTTTTCCAGCATTTCCGATAACTGATATGATAGAATATCATGCAATATAATTTATGTAGTATTTCCAAGAGTTTCTCTAGACTTACTATTTTAGTCTTGAATTACCTCTTAATCACTTATTTTCATTTGGCCAATCTTATGTACTGAATGCTGGGTAAGCCGCTAGTCAAAGCTGGCTTCCCCCCAAGAGTTAAGGTTCAATTTATCTTAATTATGGTTTTTATTTTAAGGAAATAAACCTGACTTGAAGCTATAACCAAATTCACAAATAACATTTCTTTCTAGAGTTCCAGGAATATTTGTAACAAGTTTAAATCTAAGAATTGTTCAATTTAAAAAAGAAATGGAAAAAATGGCAATTCACACAAATGAGCATTTTTCTCAAAAGCAATCTAAAACCAAATAAGGGCTTACATAGGATGTTTGAATTTTCTATGGTAGTCTCTTGCTTTACGTTAAAAATCATTCTTGTGACTAGTGACGGCCATCACTACCACACATCGGGATGGTGAGCTTGCCTCTGACGTCACTCAGTAGACTATCCCTTTTGAGATCCACACCATTACTTCTCTGCACAGTGGGTGACATGTGGGTGGGTCTCACCTCACTGCCGAGGAGGGGCCCTGGTTGATTTAGGTCAATCAGGGCATAATATTTCTTGTGCCACCGATCATGGCTCAGGGGTAAACTATGAGCTGAAAGTTGAAGAGTTTTTCCAGATGGTTTGAGACCTGAGTTTCCCCTGACTTTCATGAGGTCAGAAATGAAGATGGCCACAGGCTTTGTAAGCTGGCAGCCACTGTATCCCTGAGAGGCAGGCTGGCCACCTGCCTACTTAAATGTGCAGATACCGTGTCCCATCTATTTGACTGATGCATATACACACAAATAGATACATCAGTCATCCTTGAATTCAGGTGTGCACATTAAGACGACAGTCACAACATTGTCATAAAGCAGATAATCCTTTAAAACATGATCTTTCTAAACACTTGAAGAAAAGAACACACTAAATCATCTTCCTGGTGATATGCTCCTTTCATTAAATCTTCATTCTTTTAATATTATTATTCATATGTAAAGACTTAGGAAAAGCCACATTAATTTAGAATTTTGTTAAGAATCAAACCTGCATTTACTGTGAAAAACAGAAGGAAATGCCACTCATTTAAAATTGTTTGTCCAAAGTAAAAACGTCTTAACTTTCTCATTTCACAGACTTATTTTTCAGAATCACAAATTTGATCACTTTTCTCAGTAAAAGCATTTAATTCTATGTGGCTTGCCAGAGATATGAGAATGGTAGGTGGTCCAGCACCCCGCGTTTTATGGGGCACTTTCAGTGAGAGCCTTCATCAGTAAGACTGGCAACCGCTCCGCCTCCATACAGCCGCGTAGTATTTAAGGTCCACATTTTTGTTCTTACAGTTACCCATCACCCACACAAATACTTTGGCTCTAAATTAATTTCTTTCCAGCTGGACTCACACTATTTTTAAAAGACCTAAGTAGCTCAAACAAGCTTTCAGGTAGATTAAAAAGAAACTCTATGACCATTGAAACAGGTCAGACAAACAACGTTTCAATGCTAGCTAAAATATTTACCTAAGACAAAATAAGCTTCTGCTCTACAGAAGTTTAAATACTTACACTTTCCAAGTAGTCATCTCATTCCTAATCAACTGAAGGCCAAAAATACACACACAGGAAAGGTTTTGAAAGGAAAATCACTATTAATATTTCTCCTAAAGTTAAGTGGCTACAGTAAAGTTTTAAATTACAAAGCAGGTACGACTTACACATATTACAGCATTATGACTGATTAAATTTGCAAAAAGAGAAAGCAACCCACATATACAATATATCTGCATTCACTGGGTGTGAGAAAGTCAATCTCAGGTGATTTCTAGTTTCATCGTAATACTGTTCCATGGGAGCCGTTTGGTAAGTTCCTCACTTAAAATAAATTTTCAGGCCCTCCCTGGTGGCGCAGCGGGTTAAAGCACAACACTGAGAGGCTGAAGCCACTTCCGCATGAGTTCAATCCCCGCCTGCCCCAGAGGTGACCCACAGGGCGTGGCAGACCTCTCCTGACCCGCCCGCTGCTCCCCTCAGCAGTGGACTTCACAGATCTGCCTGTTCTGCTCCCCACTCTGTCTCTGGTGAAGCCTCTTGCCACCCCTGCACCTCTGGCCTGTATCCCAGTCTGTATGCATAAATAAATAAATCTTTAAAAAAATACATTAAAAAAATAAACTTTCAATAATATGACACCACAGTGTTTCCTTACTAGATAGTAAAATATAATATGAGCTTCAAACATTAGGAACAAAAGGGCTGCATAGCTCTCTTGTATGGAAAATAAGAAAATGTCCTCTTTTCCAGATAGGAACCATCAGAAAAACAATCACGTGTTAGCTTTTGCATAAGATTTCCTATGCCTCAAGTGGCATCTAAGGCGAACAAAGGCAAATCGAAGAAGATAAATACTAGCAATTTCCTGCTTTACAAAGACAACAAGAGGCTGCCTTCCACAGTGAGGAGGTCAAGTTCAAGTTCAATCACCAGTGGTTCACAATGCCCAGAAGCCAGAAATAGGCTTCACACACATTTACAGTTTCCCTTAGTCCCTCTGACTCAGAGGGAAGTCAATGCACCTGCAAGTTCAGGCAGTCTGACTTTCTGTGCCTTCAGCCTCGACCTACAGGACAGAAGGGGAGTGACACTCACGCCGCAGAGAGGGAGCTGTCTCTCTTGGGCTTTCTCTTCTCCCTCGCGTCGCTGAAATCCAAGGCGGCTTTGTCCATTCCAAGTAACTCGCTGATTCTGTCTCGGCCGTAGAATTCTCCATATTTATCCATGACCTGGGAGCAGGAGAAAGAAAGGCTTTTGTTAGCCTCGGCCACTATGTAACCTCATCTGTGAACGTGCACAAAGGTCTCGTTGCTGTTTCTACTCTGTATTTCTGTTGCTGCTGAACCCTCTCACCTCCCACACCCCTGGCCTGCACCCCATTTCTTGTGTGCATAAATAAATAAATCCTAAAAACAAACCATGATCGATATGTTAAAATCCTCTGTGGTAGGGAACACAGAGATGGCCATGAACCCTCAACATCTGAGTGTTAGTAGGTGCAACAGTCACAGCTGACTTTGGTTTCTGTATGCTAACACCCTCTGAGTCAGTCTACATCAGTGAAGCCTGATGGAAGTAAAAAAGGTTTTAAAGTTACAGTAAAAAAAAAAAAATAAAATGCAGCCTTTGGTTGTTTTCCAGCAACTTTATTTCCTTAGACTAAAGAAGGAACCCAGTCCCGATAATTTATACCAACTATCTCATCAGAAAGTGGCTTTCAGCTAACTTAGGTTTCCCAAGCAGTCACAAAGAAAATTCTTGTATGGAGTGAGAATGGTTTATTCACCAGAGTTGGACTGAGTAGATGAAGCAATACCTGTTGTTTTATAGCTGCAGCCTACAAATTTCCTATGTATTCTTTCTGAAATTCATCTTTAATTCTATTGTACTTTGAAGTGACCTTAGTAAGCAGAGAAGGTACACCCCAATCTCTCATTCTACATGTAAGCGACATCAAATTCAAATCTGAATTTCACTTTAAGAAAAAAATTGAGAATGTATCCTTCTAGGAAATATTACCTTTCTTTTAACAAATTTGTCCCAGTAATTGTTGGGAAATGACCTGAAAGATATAAAAGTATAGAAGTAAAACAGCATCCTTTAAAAATGATATATGAACATTGCTTGATACATACAAAACAATATGTAAACCTGTATTCTTCCATTCACAAAATGACAATGAATTAGTTCTCCATCTTAATCTTATTTCATAATTTTGTATCATGCAAAACATACTACTTTCAATGATGAAATAACCATTACATGTAAATCACAAAAAATAAAATACCATGAGTTCACAGTGTAACAAAGAATATAAACATTAACAAGCTGACATGTTGTATTTTTTATTTACTTCTATTGGGTCAATATTTCCACTGTCCCAATTGTTAATGAGTCTTTAGAATGTAACTGTCGTTACTAGTTAAAGTACTTAAAAGCCGGCCACTGTTTTTTTTTTATTAGGTGACAATATCTCAACCCCAACAGTTAACTCAAGCAGTCTCTATGTGTGACACGAAAACGTGCCGCAGGCACCCTAATAAACAGTGACTCAGGGACCCTAATAAATAGTTCATGGCCAAGACAGACTTGGTCAGACTGACTTTTAACAGCTCACGACTGATGCTAAGCTAGACAGGGGATTTAGAGTAAATACTGACAAGACACACATCCTCTTCTGAAGACTCAGGCTATCTCAGAAATAGCTTTTTAAGTATAAATAAAACTAATTACCGTACAAGCAAGGTGTTTTTCTCTTGAGTAATCTAAACTCCTCAAAAAATACTGTATCACTAATACATTTTATGGAAGAAGATTATGCTTTTGTGATGGGTTTAAAACTGTATTCTGGATCTGATTTCATAAAGTCAAGTCATGCATATTAAAAAAAGGAAGACATTGTTTTTTTTTTTTTTTTGTCTTACATTTTAAATGTCAGCTCTATGCTAGGCTGCTTGATGGTTCCACCTGGAATTTTACCACTCAGATACATAAAAAGCATGAAATTCAATGTTATTGCTTTTAATGAGAGCCTTGCCTTAGTGAGTACTTCTCGCCACCCTCTGTACTTTTAGCCTCGCTCACCCCCCACCGCAGGTCCTGTGCCCCCCACTGCTCACTTTCCTGAGCACCGAATAATGAACGCGAATTTCCATCAGTGCTGTGGAAATGGACTCAGCCATTTTTGATGAAGGAATTAGAGCTCAGAAGGCAGAAACCGATGGCCCCCACTATGAAGGTCACGGTGCTTAAACCTAGTCTTCTGATTTTCTTGAGTGAATATGTAATTATCTAGCACCTCTGCCCCACTTCTGGCAAACCTGCATAAATTCCACAAAGTACTTCCTATCTCGGAAGTTTTGAGCAGAGCAGCTCACAGAATTCTGTACTCACTGTGTGTTGATGACAAGTCTATCCCACTGGCCTTTAATGTCATCTTCGGAAGGCTGTTCTGTGATATAAAGTCCATCAAATTCCAATTTCCGTGCTACTTCCTTTTCTCTCTTAAAAATAACCAATGGGACCTACATATGAAAAATAAACATGCTAAAATTAGTTTAGATTTATAGGCATCGCCTGTGGTTGCTATCTGCACGAAACAGCTTTGGAAAGACTTATTTCCCATGTTACTTCCAGGAAGTTAGAAACTGAGTGAAAACGAATCGGCTATATTCAGGCAGAAAGAAATGTGTAGAAGGTTTTGAAAAATAGAAGCTAGAAAAGATATCATAAATATGCACACTTAAACACACAAAAGCTCACAGGTAATTACACTAATGAGAGCACTTTTAAATATTAAAGAGAAAAAGATGCAAAATTATTTTCCTTTTGCACACATATGTGTGTGTGTATATATATATGTATATGTATATATATATATGTATATGTATATATATTTCATGATATGAGTAGATGCAGTAAAATAGAGAATGTTTCTAAAATTCCAAACTATGCTTCTCAAATCTGCAGGGTTATATTTGAGGAATCTCTTTAATAATTCCATACTCAGCATGCCCATGTTAGTTAGAGACAAATTTTATTTTTAACATCAGCAAAAATCTTTGTCAGGTTGCCAAAATATCTCTAGAACAGATTTATTCTCTTTTGCTATGGACAGAAGCAAAGTCACAGATTCATATATGTCACAGATGTAACAAAGATACAAACATTCTAGAAGTATCTGGGAATATCATTTTCCTGCCCAATTAATAAAGGAAGAAAAAGGAGAGGCAGGAGTTTCTGAAGACAGATATGGAGCCTTGTATTTTACTCTAGGGTTTGGTCATTCGAAAGTCTGGAAGCTTCATAATCAGAGGCATAAAACAGTGCAATAAAGGTATACAGTGGAAAGGCGCCTTGCTAGAAAAAGGCAGAGACTTGCAAAGGTAATACATAGCCCTGGGCACTCAGAAAGACTATCTTGAGAACAATTCACTAAAATCTACTGTTCCCTTGGTAGGGCTCTAAGGAGAGAGGTGCACTATATTTTGTGTGAAGTGTCACTTACTGCAAAGCATTTCTGCCAAGTATAGCAACAGACACACGCTCAATAAGGGGCAATCAAAATGACTCATGGGATCAGTATGATGTCTGTCGTAATTCCTAAGACACTGGAACACTGTTAGGAGATGCAGGTCTGAGTCACTTCTGTGGGATCAAGTTATAGGTGAGGCTGTGGGAATAATTACTAGCGTGAAAGAGAAAGTTCCAATAAAATAAGCATATGTCCTTCCAGGGCAGTGCTAAAAGTAATAAAAGCATGACAAATACAGGCTGGTTCACATGGAGTTCTAAAAACCAGGCTGCAACACCACAGCCCAGGACAGCTGTGAGAGGGCATCTCATTCTCAGCCCAAGGCCCACAGCTGCACCCAGCTGTGTTCAGACTCAGGCCAGGCTTGCTTTCTGCCCTACCCTGTTTCTTCCTCTAGTCCCACAGGGGTTTGCCCACAGCATATTTCCTGACAAATGGCATGCACGTTGTTACTGCCTCAAAGTCCACTCTCCCCAAAGTCCAGCCTGCGACAGACAGGCACATACACAAACACAAACGGGTACCTTGGTGCCTTACTAGCTTACTTTCAAGCAGTAGTATCCAATGATGCAGAAGAAAGAAATGACAGTGTGCAGAATAGCTAAGATGCGCAAGGTGGGCTCCATGTAACCACTGCTCTCCTCCAGGACGTAGTGAACAGCGATGAGTCTTTGTGAGTCGCTGTCCAGGGTGCTGATTTTGGCTTGTTCACTTGAACTGCGAGAGGGGAGTTCCTTCCCTTCAGCCACAGAAGAAGTGGAGACCTGATTCAAATCATTTAAAGCATAATCAGGTCAATTCCTTTAAGAGAGCAGTGTAAACAAGAAATGGAAACCCAGTCTCGTCAGCAAATGGATGTGTGAGACCAGGTGTGCAGTCGTTATACAAAGAAAAGGCTAAAACCAAAAGCTACAGAGAGAGCTTTACAAAAACCAACAGCAGAAAATGAACATGCTTTTTAACTTCAATCTAATCTAACCAAGATTTGTGAAGACATGAATGCATGCAGCTAAAACTTAGGAATCTATCTACCTTCTCAATTACCCAAATAATATAATGTAATAAGGTATGCCAAACCCAGGTAAAGTAAGAAGTAAGATATTCGGTTCAGTCTGATTATTAAGATGACAGGCCATCCCATTGCTGCATCAAACACTCTCAGGTCAGCTATTTCTTTTCTAGTTTGGAGGAACAAATCCATCCGTACCCCCTCACCAATATTTAGAGTAAATATAAGATGTGTTCACTAGTGGGTTGCATTAAATTCAGTCCATTGGTAGATTTAAACTGATCTGATTATTAAAAGACTAAGAAGCACCTACCTTATAAAAGAGCAAGATGAAATTGATTGCAAATGCGACAAATAAGGCCAACATTCTCATGTTGTAGAAGTTGCGAGCAAAGTAATTCTGAAGGAAAAAAAATTATATTAAAAGGTCATTGGATCAAGGGACTTAACATCTGCAGTTTTAATAAAGCGTTCATTAGTTTTCTCAAAACTATTTCTAGAGGGTCAGCTAAGTATAGGTTACCATTCTTGGTGCTGTAGACACAATGAGGAGGAAGGCACTTTGGGCTAACACGGAAGAGACAAATAGTAAAGATAAAAAAGCTCATTCAACCTTGCACCCTATACCATTCCCTCTCTACCTAGTCATGGCAACTATTACGACACATCAAATGAGTGACCACGGATAAACAGACAGAACTTTAGATGATGCTAAATGCTATGAAGAAAAGAAATCCAAGTTGAGGGAAGGGGGGTGCCCTTTTAGGTCTCTATTTGGTCAGGGAAGTTATGTCTCAGGAGGCGAAATCTGAGCAGAGGCCTCAATGCTGCCTGGGAGCAAAGCAAGTGAGTAGCTGGGAAAGAGAAAGCATGGAGGGCAACCGTCCTGAGCGAGACAAGCTCACAGCAGCGACAGGGGTGTTTGAGGACCACTAAGATGGAAGCACAGAGGGGGGGGGTTGGCAGGCAGCAGAGCAGCTGAGCTCTACAGGCCTCCAAAAAGGCTCATATAGATGGGGGGGGGAAGGGAGGGAAATGCACGGGACTATGGTGGTGGCACAGGGGTGATTTGGTGATGGGAAACCCGTGGGGATTACAATTGAGATGAAAAAAAAAATGTGCAAAATGATGTAAAAATAAACTTTTTAATAAAAAAAAAAAAGGCTCGTATAGTCCCCACAGTGCAGTGATTCGGTTTCTTATTTGGGGCCACACTGCCTGAACACAAAGCCCCACCCACCCCACCCCCCACTATCTAATTGTGGGGCGTGAATAAGTAACTTTTATAGCATCACTTTAGTACTTATTCAGTGGAATAACAACAGAAACTCTCTCATATGTTTGCTATGAGGATTCACCAATCTAGGAAAAAACAGTTAACTTTATTACTAATAGTGGAATTGTTGTTCTACTGTAGGCGAGATGGGAGCTATCAGAGGAGCTACTGGTGACTTAATGCGATCAGAGTCTGACTTAATGAGCATCATTCTAGTGCTGCGTGAACATGGATGACAGGAGGCAAGAGTGGAAGCAGAAGGTATTCCAGAAGTGGAGGAAGAGAGGCGGCTGATGGGGGTGGTTGGGATGGCGACGGCTGTAGAGATAGTGAGAACTGGATAGTCTGGATATTTGACAGGGAGAGCTGGGAATTACTGAACTAGACTTGCAGTGGGAGAGAAAGAGAAGGTTCCAGTGGCAACTTCTGGATGTGGGGGTCTGGGGAACTAAGAAAATGGTTGGGGTCTTTTATTGAGCTGGAAAAAAACTAGAGGAGAAATAGGTTACGGAGAAGGCTAAGGGTTGGACAAAGTAATTCCCTTGGTTATCTGAGCTGGGAGGATAAAGACTTGGGGGCCAGGGGCCAGTGGCAGACTGATGTCGCCTTATGTAGGCCCCTGCAGGCAGGTTTGGGAGAAGAGAGTGGCAAATGGCAAAACAGCAGGGAAAGAGGAATGGCGGAGAGAAGAGAACATGTGAAGCCTGAGGCAGAACGATGGAATAAAGCCCCGATACGTGCTTCAGACAATTCTGCACTTCTGTGTCGGGGGCGGAAAGCAAGAGGGTCTGTCTGTACTGCACCTGCCTCCAGGCCACTGAGACATGTCCGATCAGTACTATCCAGTTGCCCAGAAAACACTCATGTCCCTTGATGATAAAGACCGTTAGCAGACACGAAGCAGTTTAAGAAAGCCTAGTTAAAAATATCAAGTAAAATGTATTTGCATAAGTTACATAAATCTCATGCATACATGTTCACACATATGTGCAATGTTTGCCCGCCAAGGACAACCCGCTTTCCCTGACAGGTGAAATTCTACAGTGTACCGAGTTTCTCTGTCATCTGTTTTATTTCTCAGAGGCTGCAAACACTAAGTATGATTTTGCTTCCCAGTGGCCTTATGAGGAGGAGTGCTGTCCTCAGTTTCCAGGCCTGACACTGCCAGTAAGTAGCTTCTGTGGCTTCACTCTGAAGCCTCGCTCCCAAGCGCTCCTGCTTTCAAACGGTGTGTTCATTATTACGTCCATAGGCACACGCAGATGGTGAGGCCTTTTAAGCTACAACGCTGAGCGTTCCATGTTGGGTGAAAATGAGAATATAACAACAACTCCACCTCCTCTGCTTTAAGTATGAAAATATATTTTACAAATTGAGGGAGCTTTACTGCAAAATTTCTTTCGACCTAAAGTGCTATCTTTTCTCTTTCAATGTTTAACTCTTGTTTCTACGGAGAGAATAATATTGAGTAGACCTTACTATCGATGGAAAGTTAGCTCGTGACACTATATTTCTATAAGACCGGGAGGAGGATACAACCGAGGAAGACCAAAGACACAGATTGGATGAAGTCGGTGACCATGCAAAAGTTCTGACTCTCAGAGATGACGGGAAAGGACCGCTGAAGACCGGGCCCATGTCCTGTGTGGTTTTCATGGAAGCGTGGTGTTCTGGAGTACAAGGTAGCCTGGTACTGGAGCCTCACGACGAGTCCCTGTGGCCTTGGACTGATTTGGCCTGAATGTGTTGCAGCGTTTCCCGCAGTGGCCTGCAAAGAGTGGGGCCTCGGGACACACCACTGACTGGCCCTGAAGTCTTCCTGGGCGACACTGGCAGTCCAGAAACCACATGGTTCCAGCTGGCGTGTGTAGAAGTCGTGGTTTGGCGTCACGGACACGTGGGCCACAGGCAATCGTTACGAAAAGAAGACACACACCAGTGGGAAATAAACACTGCAGGGTGACTCGGTTTCCCGACTGTCAGCCCAGGAAGACGAGCAGGTGTGCACTGAGCCTAATTCAGGTCTCCCAACATATCAAGAACAATATTCATTCTGAAGCATCTTACTAGCAGTTTTTGCTGATACGCTATGATTTTCTTCCAGAATGCCGACTCGGGGGCCTCTGGCTCTCCATACCGATGTGTGTGCAGCTGCCTCGACTTCTGTTTCTCCTTGTCTTCTTTGGCTTTTTCTTCTTTTTCTCCATCTTCTCCTCTGTGAACACAAATGAAGGAAGTATTTGAAATTAAAGAAGGAAACGAGTTTTGTGTTAGAACACCCACACACGTCACAGAGTCATTTTTTAAAACGTCCTATCTAAAGAATCATAGTAGTTAGAATTTTAGAATTCAGGCACGGACTGCTTATTTATAAAGCCTTGTAGAAGTGGGTAATTTGCAGACTTGAGGTACCTTTACATCTGCACGCAGCTCATTCCTCTCTAACCCTGTAATACAGATATTCAGCTAACACAGGTAACAGTGACGGCATGATTTTTGGCTGCATCGCTTTGCTCTGACTTTCCAGTATACCCGCTTTTTAAGCTAGGATTTTTCAGGTTCAATGTTCAGCAAAAACTTAACACAATCTTTAACGCTGCCATTAGGATGTAAGACCAGAGGTGTACGCGCTGGTTGCCAATGTACTGATTTTGCAGACAACAATGGACCTGGAAGCCCTGAGATGTGATCCCTGAAATCCTCCAGGAACAGACGACCCAGGATACACACAAGTGGATTTAGGGGTCTGTGCAGTCACTTACATATAGCGCATAGATACTTAGCCAGTGCTCCACCCTAGTCCAGAAGAGCTTGCTAACATTAAGAACTGCTGTTGAAATGACTCTAAGGTTCTGCTGTATGTATCTATTTGTCACTAAAGAGCCATTTCCATGGCCGTGACCCCAACTGATCTAACAGTACAAGACTATGACAGTGGCCAGCGTTGATGGTGAAGGATAACTAACAGTCTAGAAATTTAAATAGGGGAGGGAAATTACAGACTAGAGGAGAAAAAATAAATGTTATATGAGATGGTGAGTTGTACTCCAGGCGCTTAAATCTTTCATATCCCTGATTTTTAAAAATGCACATACAAAACTATTTTAAAACAGGTGAAGACACAGATTTTAATTATTAATATAAACGATGTGTGGAAAACATACATTATAACTGCTTCACGTCCAGCTCTTTATTCTGATTGCTACATGTGTGACTGTGCTGCGACACAGCTCCAGGAGAGTTGGTTGAATGATTTCTGGGCCCCACAATGCACCTGCTGACTGATAACGCTGATGAGCCCACCGGGGATACTGGTTTTAACAATCCAGGCAGTTTTTACTCCTGCAGCCCTGGGACTATACCTTGAGGAACACCATCCCCACAAGGATTCTATACAATGGCAATCAGAAAGCTCATTTCTGCCCTTGTTTACCAGAACAGAAAGAGGCCTGATTTGAAACCTCTTGCGGAGCATAGTACATGCAATTACTGAGTCTTTTGTGCCCAGAGACACACAGGCAGGATCCTCACGGCTGCGGAGCACAGACTTCCGGGCTGGGGCCTCATGCCAGCGCCTTGCCATCGAGGGGCCGGATCTTCTCAAGGGGCATTTTGCATGACACCCCCAGAGAAAGAGCACGAGAAAGAACACACACAGAACAGCTCAGAGCACACGGAAGCCACACTCACTCTGCTTTCTCAGGCTCCGACTTGGTTTCCTCCTTTTCCTCTTTTTCTTCTTCCTTTGCCTTCTGCTCCTTGAATGAATCCGAGGGACAAAGGAAAGCAGGATGACCGCCACCGTCAGATGAGGGCACCTCTGCCACTCAGCCCTGTGCGTGATGAGGTGCCCAGGTCCCCTCACTCCGCCGCCCCGCCGTCCTTCCTCCCATCCAGAGTTGGGTCAGTTTCCTGGGCCACTTCTCACCTGTCCCTTGTTTCAGAAATGCCCTTCTACATCTCATCCACCTACTCAGATCTCAGCTTTCAGGGCCAACCGAGTCCCACCTGCTCAGATCCACCTTAGCCATGTGCACTTCCATTTTCTCAACATGACGCAGCCTTCACTGCTTCCTGCCCTCATTTATCACAGTCGTTGTCTAGGTTGCGTGTGTGTGTGGGGGGGTAGTTATCTCACCAATAAACTCTTTAAGGGAATTCAAAAGAAGTACCCACATCCTATTTATTTCTTTAGTTGACGATGGTACTCGGTGGTGTTAGAACCTGATAAGCCCTCCCAGCTGTGGACAGCTTACCTTTCGACGCTCATCAGAGTAGGTAATTAAGGTTGCACCTTAATGGTTTAAGATTATTCAATCATCTGTAAAGGATTTTAAAAAGCTGAGCTTGGGCCCTCCCTGGTGGCATAGCCGGTTGGACGCAGCACTGCAGTGAGTCCGATCTCCACCCCGGAGGTGACTCACAGGGTGCGGCAGACCTCTCCTGGCCCGCCTGCTGCTCCCCTCAGCAGTGGACTTCATCCATGTGACTGTTCTGCTCCCCGCTCTGTGTCTAGGGAATCTTCTCACCCACCCCCACCCGCACCTCTGGCCTGTACCCCTATTCTGTGTGCATAAATAAATCTTAAAAAAAAAAAAAAAACAGCTGCGCTTGGCCTACCCGCAAGTCCCTCCCTTCTAGAAATTCACAGGGGCATCTTTAACCCCACGCTGATGCTAGCGAGAGCTGGTCCGTACAAAGTTCAAGTGTCGCGCCCACCTGAAGTCCCGAGAGCCGCCGTGGCTCCGGTATACCTCACCTGGGATTTCTCGTGCACCTCGGGCATGGGGACGGGGCTGCCAATGAGGTCGCCGAGGCCAGCATTCGGATTGTGCGGAATAAGCTTGTACTGCCCTCCTTCTCTCTTCAGGTCCAAACCAAATATGTCGGAAAGAAGGTCACTTTCCTCTGCCAGTTCCTTTAAGTCCGCCAGGTCTTCAGAGGGCAGGGCAGCCTCCAGGGGCTTCCTCTCACTCTCCTCTCCGTCCCCTCTCACCTCGTCCTGAGTGGGATCTGGCATGTTGGCCAGCAGCTCTGCAACTTTGATCTTCTTAGCACCCTCTACTAGGCTGCCCCCCAGCAGGACGCTGCAAGTGATGCGGAAAAAGCCCCTGGCCACGCTGGCCACGACGTGCAGGAGGCCCACGGCCACGCTCCAGTAGGACGCGAAGAAGGCGGTGAGCATGTCCCTCACGGTCATCTTCTTCACTTTCTTCACCTGCTTCTTCAGGCTCTTCAGACTGAGCATTCGCATCAGGGCCAGGATATTGTACCTGAGAGCAAGCAGGGCCGACTGGACCGTCAGGACGGAGAAGAAGCCCATCCGCGGGCCCTGCTCCTCGGGCTTCTCCCTCTCGCTGTCTTCCTTATTGACGGCCCTCTCGTTCAGATCCGACTCTGAGATCTGAGCCGCCAGCTGCATCTCAAATATGGTGTCCTCACAGAAGCTGACGAAGAGCTCCATCTTCTCTTTCTCGCCCCCTTCGTTGACCACGTCGAATATGAACTGTCTTTTGGACTCCTTGACCTGGGGCTTCTCCCACTGGGTGCGGCTGGACTCACTGATTTCAAAGTAAACCCGCTCAATGCGCTTGGCGCTGCCCATGATCTCGATGCGGCCGAGAAAGGGCTGGAAGTAATTCAGCACGCTTTCTGCTAACTCCAGGAATGTCTGCAGGCGGGTGTCGTTGGGCATGTGCTCAGAGAGATTCGTCAGAAGGACAGCGACATTGAAGCTGATGTCCTTTGCGGGTTCGTGGAAACGTTTGACAAACTCTTCATAGTCGAGGGTCTCGTTTTCATCTGTCTCTGCGCAGGACAGGAGAAACTCTGTTTCTGACTGCGTGTAGTGCTTATGGCTCTCCATGGCTTTGTGGAAGTCCCTCTTGGAAATGACGCCCTTGCCGTCGGGGTCGTAGTCTTTAAATGTATCAGAGGATGTCAGATCCTTTAGCTTTAAGAACATGTCGAAAAACTTGAGAATCATCTCCACGTTGTTGGAAGATTCCACGAGCATATCGACCATCTGTTTGCCAATGGTTCCATTGACAACATTACCTGGTGGCAAAGAATCACATTTGTTCAAAATGAACACGCCCAATCAAACCAGTATGTACAGAGAAGACAGTAATACAGAATTTACACCACATCATGGTGAGGATAGTGCCTTGTTTGGCTTGCAATGTACACGTCAGAGGAAAAGATGGATAGTGATGTGTAAACACTCGTTTGCAAGGTGACTACACGGAAGTAATTTGACAACACACACACACACGCACACAGACATTTTGAACCAAGCTGAATTTTTCCCCTCTAACTGCTCAAATAAGAAATATTGTTAGAATAAAGAAAAATGGGGCAGGCATTTATATCCTCAAACCAGAAACTAAAATTGTTTCATTTATCATAAAAACGAACATTTACACAGTTCTTCAGACAATACTTGGCTTAATGTTTACTTAGCTGTAAGACAAGTAGCTTTTTACTAATTCTCACTTTGCTTTTGCGGAAACTGAGGTTTAGTGAGGCAAAACTGAAATGCCCTTTGCAACATGATCATTGAGGGCAAGGCCAGATCTTCAAACAGAGCCTGTGAGGTCAACTATCTGTTCTTTCTGACTTCCAAAGTAAAGCATCTCTCCACATCTCTTATGTTCCAGAATGTTTACACTTACGTAAGTTTGTAACCCAATGTTATCTCAATTTAAAAAAAAAAAAAAAGATTCTCATTCCAAGAAAAAAGTTTAGTATCTGAGTGATGGCAGTTGTCAGACCAGCGTCTGATGGTAATTAATTCACACAACATACAGGTACCACACCTTTATGGTGCATGCCTGAAGTTAATATTCTATCTCAATGCTAGCTCAATAAAAACATGTAAATCCAAGAAAAAATGAAAATGGCAGATGGCTGATGAACTTGAGAAAATCCCATAACATTCCCAGTCACAGAGCCACACAGCATTCTCGGGGACACAAAGGCGGACTGGAGAAGAAAGATGCAGGCTGACAAGAGAGCAGGATCCATCAGCGAGGCAGGAAGCGCCTCGGTCAAGAGTTTGGGTGCAGGAGGTGGGTGCCTGAGTTTGAATCTAGGTGCTACCAGCTACTTGCTGCACACTTGGACAGGTTTCCTGGCTTTTCTGTACCCCAGTTTCTTCATTTGCAAAACAGTGATCATGACGCCACCAAATTCATGAAGCTGGCATTTGGATTATACAAGCACTAAGTGCGTAGCCTGCACACTGCCAGAGATTAACTACAAATTGCCACCATGACAGATGCTGTTGCTGCTGCATTTCGGGGGCAGCTGTTACTTGCCTTACACTGAAACTGTGATGGCGGTCAAGGCAAGAGGAGTCTGCTCAGAGGCTATAAGCTGGCTGCCAACCACAAGCTTTAAGTGATTGTGCGTCTCTGAAACACCAGCACTAACGGGACCAGCACCTTGATCAAAGCACAGTTATACAAGGTGCAACAGATTCAGAGACCACGAGAGACAAAGTTAGGAAGGATTTAAGAAAAAAGCATAGCTACCGACGGGCCAGCGGTCTGTAGTTGAGCTGGCTGCATTCACCTGGTTTCGCCGAAGTCTCACCTCAGTCTGCCTCACTCACAGAGGAGGGAGATGCACATGGGAGGTGGACCTGGAGAGGCCCTGGCAGGAGGAGGGAGCAGGGTCCCAGGCAGTGGTGGTGGACCTGGACTGGACGCTCTTAACTGGCTGCCCTTCCGCCTGGCAGAGGGCAGATGCCATGTGAAGGAAGGGGGTTGTGGTCAGCGAATAAAACTCAGAAAGACATGTGGAGAGCATGTGGCCTCTCGCAACTGCCTCCATGGGCTGGGGATTCTACAGACCTCCTGTGGGACTTGACCAACAGACTGCGCCGAGGCAGTCCGCTCAAGCAGCATTCGGAGTTAACCAAATGTCCGCAATCCCCACTTTTTATAAACACACGCACGCTCGTCTCTAGTGCAACAGGGTGAGCTGAAAAGCATTGCTAGAGGTGCAGCTGCTTCATTAGGTGGCCATGTAGGTGGAGATAGGCAGGGTTTCTTTTTTTTTTAAGAACTAAAGAGAAAACAGCACAGCAGACCCAGGCCTCCATTCCATCTCAGTGTTGACGTCTTATTCTTGGCGGCAAGCTGACACCAGAAGCAAATGTGTATCGGCACTGACCGTGGAAGAAAAAAGGGAAGCTGGAAATAGAAATGGAGACTACCTTCTAGCATGGACAGCAGCATGACCACCATGTCCTTCTGGAGATCCATCAGTTCTTTCAGTAGCTCAATTTGACTGGAATCCTGAAACGTCAACAGAGAGCATTTGGATCACTTATGCAAAACATGTAGCGAGAGCATCATCCTAACTCTCACAGGCTGCTCTAACAGTCAGCGCTGCACAGGGACTGGACCGGAAGGACAAATGCGTGTCGTTCGTTAAACATAGACTCAGTGCAGGATTGCGGAGCATCTACTGTCCCTTGGAGCTCGTGTTTACTCATGAAAGGACAGCCAACGTGTTCCGCGAGGCCAGCAAATGATGAACCGGGACATGCTCCAGTACCAGCTACGGCCGCGGGCTTCTGGACATTGAGCACCTTGCCTTGAAATGACTGTCCAGCTTTGTCTAACCTATACGTAAAGATGGCACATATTCTACAAAAAGTAACTGGTCCTGGGGAAAACAGCCAGTGCGAGGAGATAAACTTCTCTTCCATGAACCTAACCAAAGAGGCTACACACATTTCCTGCACTAACGATGCATACCGCTTTGTTAATTACCACTTTTTCTAAATGGATTTTTTTCTGGTTAAAAATTTTTGGCTTGGTTTAGCTCTGGATTTTCAACATGAATTAAAAACCTGTGTATGGATATATTATGTCTCTCACTGTGCTCACTGAAACATGGAATACACACATCTAGGTCATCATCTCCCAAATCATCACATTTTCAACTATATTTTTCCTTTGAAAAAAATCTGCAAGGTGTGATTTTATTCACTTGGATTTTTTGCTATATATAAAACTAAAGCTCTATATTTCTGGAGGGAAGAGACTTGTTGCTAAATAGTTATTACCTTGAACAGTAACTGAATAATTGCAAAGTACCCTCAGAGGGCACTAGAATGCCAGAAATACAGCAGATGGCAACTCTCTCGTGAGAATATGCATTTGGTTTCTTTTCATTTTGTTTACTGACTAAACAAAACGATGAAAGAATCAGGATAGTCCCTGATTTACCTGACGTCACCAGCAGCTATTTACATTTACCAAAATTCTCCCTTGGTCCAATTCTAGCTAGGCTTCTCTGAGCCCTTTCTTGACTAAGCGTTGGTCTTGATTTGCATAGAAGAACTTTGCTTCCAACAGCTGAAGTCTTCATCCCTAAGAAGCCCCTCGCCTCCCAGAGAGCTTGTCTGAGAAATTCAAGGCTACCAGGAGAACGTAGCGTCTGTTCCGGTGACGCTGAGGATAGGACTGTGTCTCCCACCTTCTAGTCAGAGGCAATTCCTACCTCAGCTGACACACCCAGCTGCTGACTCATTTATTCTGGCCACCCCTCGTAAGAGCATTTTCTCTGGCCCTTCTGAGTCCTTGTTCAACCCTTCCTACCCTCCAATTACCCATTGCCACTGTACATATCCAATAAAGTGAAGTCCAAGGCGACTCCTTCTGACTTCAAGATGTACACAAACTCCGTTTGTCACTTCACCCAGGGTCTGGCTGTGTCTATGCTGCACTGTAAGCTCCTGCTGGCCTCGAGGGGGCCAGTTCAGAACGGAGGACAAGGAGCTGGTTCCCATCCTGGGGCACATGAGTGAAAAGGCGGGCCAAGACGGGCCTTCTTCACACTTTAAATCTACTGGACTTTCCTCTACCTGACACCTGCAAAATACCCACCTTCGGACCAATACGCCACGTCTCAGCACCTGGCATCAAACTTCGCCACATCAAAGTGACAGACTTATGGAACATTCGTTTTAAGAATTTTTCTATATTTCTCTTAGCTTCAAATGAAACCGTAGTGAGAAAACAACATACTAGTTTTCAATATCCACTCTCACATTCACATTATAAGGAGGTGGAAAATATGCTTATTTTTTACTGTGGATCCCTAGATCTGTTTTTTCTCTGATTTTCACATAGTTAAATTTCTTGCTTACGGATAAAGTGTCATCTCTTGGAAACAATTGCTTGTTTACTCTTATGTTAGAAAAAATTGTCTCCCTTTAACAAGGGTTTGGTAGCAGACTGCAAATATTTTCTACATTATCTGTAAAGCGGAGGAACATTCCAGGGATAATGGGCCCAGAAGCATCTGTGATGGACTGTGAAGTGGGCAGTGTTTGGGGACTGCATTGCTTTATTTCTCTGCTAAATCCAATTCCTTGATCTCCTCCTCCTCAGATTTGAATAACGGTTTCTGTCTCTTCCCAGCCTAGATAGAATTATCTCATTGAAAATATACATTCTCTTTTTTATGTAGCGGGAAAGATAAAGAACGGATCTAGAATTATCGAGAATACCCAGATAGGAGAAAGTATGGCTCGTTTGCTGGTGATTGCAGCCTCTGGGGGTCACCGAGGGCGGGGGAGGCGTTACCTGAGACAGCTTCATCTGCATGTGAGCAAACACGTGGAGAAAACCCACCACAGCGTCCCACAGCCTGCTGTGCGCCAGGCTCTGCTGGTTCCCCGTGCAAGGACCCTGCGGCAGAAACAGACACAGCAGTCACCCCTGACCCCTCAGCTGCGAAGCAAACTTGCACTCAAGGCACAAGTGAACTTAGTGTCTACGTAGCTTGCACTCAATGGCTGTCTGATGAGGGAGGAACCCCACATGAAAAGACAGATGGGGACAGGAAGGGCTAGTCCCCTGAGGAGACAAGCAGCTCTTCTCTGAAACACTGAGCATCCCCACTCCCCCCAAAAGGTCTTTACCAAGGATATTCATGCTGTTTCTGTATGAATAATAAGACACTAAGAGGAAAGAATAGTTTCCTGGAATAGACTCGTTTCTGGGTTTGTTTTCTCCTATTTAAAGGACAAGAGTCCAGTTGTTTGGGCTACAGCAAAATTAATCAGAAGTTCCTACCTTGAATAAAGAGAGCCTAAGATTATGCTGCAGCCTTGAGGGGATTGTGTCTACTGCTAAATAGTGTCACAGACAGAAAAAGAAGCAAGACAACCCAAAGAAGGTGAGGGACTCAGTACTCAGGAAAAGGGAAAGCATGAATACATCTCTCCACCGTCAGCATATGAAAAGGATGGAGCAGAAAAGGAAGATTTTAGAGGTTTTGAAGTGAAGAGAGCTCTGGCTCTTTGCCAGCCTGGCAGCTCCCCCACCCTCCGAGGAGAAGGGAAGGGCTGCTTTGCTAAGAGCAAAAGAGCTTGAGCGAGGAGACAGAGAGTCAGCAGAAGTGCCTGGTTTCTGTCTCCAGGTGGGGGAAGTTGGGCAGGGCAAGGTTTGTCAGAAGTGTGAAAGACAAAGGGTGAGCAGAAAACACGTTTCTCGTAAGAGCTGCTCAATACGGAGTCGCCTTGCCCAGCACAATTTGACGGTGCCTATCTCAAAGGGTGATGTGATTCCAAGGCGGGTAAGAGGTGCAAGCAGCACGGAGCCCATGGGATGATTCAAAACCAGGTGGGAACACGGGCATTGTTCAGTCACTAAAAGCAGTGAGAGGGTCCTTCTCTCCTCAGAGAAGAAATGCAGGTGTCCCTGGAAGGCCAGCCCCATGCACTCACTCGTCCCGAGGGGGGTTGTGTCCCGAGCTCCCCTCCCTACGCCTCCTCCCTCCGGCAGCCTCAACTGAGGAATCCTGGGCTACAGGACTGGGAGGAGGAAGAGGAAAGGTGGAAGCAAACAGAAACCAGAACACACTCCTGAGTTAGAATGTTGGAGTTCAAGCAAAGAATTGTCAAGTGCAGCTTTTCCATATGGAATGTTAACATCATGGTTCTCTTTGTACCCAGAGACAAAACAGAAAAAGTGAGATCCTTCGAGGCATTTTAGTGAGATCCAAAGAAGAGAAGGAGCCCAGGGTGGTGAGGAACAAGCCGTCTACTAGCCACCACTTGGCCGGCTTCCTCCGGCCACCAGTCACCCACCCGTCATTCCAGAAACACCTGTAACTATGCTAGACCCAGCATACAATCTGTTATTTTACTTAACTTTATTCCCCCAACAAAATGTTGTTTAGTCTGAGGAAGCAAGCTATAATAAGCAAGCTCTTGTTTTACCCTAGTTATGGACTTTCAGACACAATGACTGGCTGGGATGATTTGGAACATTGCCAAAGAAGACAAAAAAAAAGATGGCTGGCTTGTTCTTCTAAGAAATGGGGAAATTTTCCTGGTTGATTAAAAAAAAAAAAAGAACAGAATTTATGATATCTTTTAAAATTTGCAGGGCAAGACTAGAAGACTTGCTTACGAAGAATAAAACAAAGGAGTATTTTTAAAAAATGGTAAATACTATTTTCTAGTTGATAAAATTTCTGTAAAACTTTCTCATTTTTACTGGAGTAGCATGCAGAATGTTATGCTCTTTGCCTTTCCCTTCCTTAAAATTTCTGAGTGCTTATATATATAACTTTCACCATTTTAATAAAAATACTGATTTGCTTTATTCTTCATATACACATAATTTCAGTGTTACGGTTGATGCCTCCAAAGAGTTCACATCTCAGCCTTCCAAATGGCGACGCGAGCTCGCTGGCTGTAATTCACATCTCAGCCCCATTGCCGGCTTCCGGCGTGTACACTTGGCCGAGGGGCCAGTGGGCCGAAACGACCACCTGTGGGAGTATGACTGACCGCCTCCGCCTAATGTCCTAGTGGCGATGATTCGCTAGGAATCTGTGCAAGGGTCAGCTGGAGATGTAGCTGATGACAGGGAGAGTCTCAGGGCATTGAGCATCTTTTTTCTTTTTTCAAAGAGCAGAAATGTTTACCTGAATATATTCTGTGAGTGTGTTGAAGACTTGTTTTGCTACTTGAATTGCTTTGGAGAAATTCCGTTGTCCTTGTTCATCAATCACATCTTTTCCAGAATAGTACCAATAGAAATCACTAATTGACTCCTGGACAAAAGGAATGACAAGATTGAGGGATATTCTGAAGCCACCATTAATCTGCGCACTTGGGTTCTGTGGGAGGGAATCACTGTAAATTACAGTTTGGAAGTAAACAAAGATATATGTGAGGTATACGACTGGCAACATCTCCTCGGGTATACAGAATGGGCACATCCTCCACAGATATAAATGACACCTAGAGAGAAACAGCAGAGAACTTAGCTTTCAGAATCCTTCTCTCAGATGACCTTGAACTTCACAGACATATGGATTCATCAAGTTAATTTCTATTTAACCATCAAGCAAAATTAAATGTTTGCTATGAGAGCACAAAAATGAGACAAATCAGGGACTAGTATTTTTTTGGTTACAGACATCTAGTCTCCTTTACTCCAGCAAAAGGTAGTAACATTTCCTTGGTCAGAATGGCCCTTGCTTTTTTCACTGTCCCTGAAGAAACAGGCTGAGCTATTTATGCATAGTAATAACATCTAAATAACAAATGTCTAAATAAGATTAATCTTTCCAAACAGGGTGCTTTCAACAATCACTCATGTTTTGAAGGAAATTTAGCTTCGGAAATGCACTTTTTTCTCTATTAAGTTTTAAAAGAATTGGGACTTTATACTTGCGAAGAATAAGGCGAGAACGTGGGAAATATGGTTGGTGGTTTTCTAAAGTACTAAAATGGCTTCTCTCATGAGGGTAATGAAAGGTGTACAGTGTTTTTAATACTTAGGAAACTAAATATTACTATATAGTAACACTATAGTATTAACATATAATATTACTATGTAATTTTATTACTACATAAATACCACTGCAATGTAAGAAGGATTTTTAAGTGATGGATACTAATCTGAATTGAAAATTAATCCAAATATTAGGACAACTGAAAAGAACTAACCATAGGTTATAATTTAAGCATGTGGCAGGTAATTTGAAAGTCTTCTTTCCCATTCTTAAGAACATTTCAAATACTTTCCTCATTTGCCTACCGAGTGTAGAACGAGCAGCTGATCATGTAGGTTCTTTACAAAGTGACACAGAATTTAAAGTGCCATCGAACCAAAAAGGCAAGGGAGGGTTTTCACTTAGAGAACAAAAATAAGCAAAGTAGAAGCCAAAGGCAAATCGACAGGAACATTTCACCCTACATCGTGCTGAAAGATGGTAGTCAACGACAATACCTTGAGCAACTCTGTCCACTCCTAAGTGACATGAAAACATGTCACTTTCATAACTGTTCACACTATTCAGCTAACCACTTCCTTTTATTTGATTCCCTCTAATCTCTAAGCAGACTTACCTGAACTCTCAGTAGGTAGTCTACAGTGGAGATGATTATGTTGACAGTTGTATTATTGCCAGTCTGGGTTCTCAGATAATTTTGAAAATCTATGTAAGATCAAAATATGTTATTTAAAGCCCACTGAAATGTTCAAAATGAGTTGAGCTATTTGAATAACTTCAAAAGTAAATAATGTGCCAGCAAACAAAATCTTTGTTGATGGCAGTGTTGTCTAAAAATCTTAATAAGAAATAATTTAGATTTCCCATAGAAGTGAATGATCACTCCCAAAAGCTATCAAGGTACTTCACAGCTTATCAATATTCAATTTGGACAGGAGGTAGCTAACACCTACTTGTTGATTCTGAGGTTTGGATATGCGAATGACATTTTTAAATATGATGCAGTTTTTTAAAAAAGATTTATTTATTTATGCATACAGAACTGGGGTACAGGCCAGAAGCACAGGAGCAGTGACAGGATTCACCAGAGACAGAGCAGGGAGCAGAACAGGCAGATGGACTAGGTCCACTGCTGAGGAGAGCAGCGGGGAGACAGGAGAGGTCTGCTGCGGCCTGAGGGTCACCTCCGGGCGGGGATCGAACTCGCAGCTGCGGCCAGCTGCAGTGCTGCGTCCTGACCTGCTGCACCACCAGGGAGGGCCTGGGGTTTGTATTCTTAGAATATGGTTATTTATTCAGTGATCATCTGTTCCTCAGGACTGTGGTAAGTACTGGTGAAACAAAGGTAAAATGAAGAGATAGTTTGTTTCTTCATGATGTACATACAAGTCTGGTAGAGAGCTTAAAATACAAATAGAGTGGAACATTGACTAGAAATGAATGGGAATATATTATATTAGTAATACAATGAAGTAGACTTCCTGGTTAAAACAAGTGGTACGGGGGCCTCCTTGGTGACACAAGGGGTTAAGGCTCAACACTATGATCCTATCAGCGGTCACTGCAACACGAGTTTGATCCCCGGACACGGGGGTGACCCACAGGGCACAGCAGACCTCTCCTGACCTGCCCACTTCTCCCCTCAGCAGTGTATGTCAGTCAATCCACCTATTCTGTTCCCCGCTATTCTGTTTTTATATGCACAAATAAACCTTTAAAAAGAAGTGTGCAAAAGAACATAGCTAGCTATTTTCCCTACAGATGTCTACCTAGTCGAAATATTTCTTCACCTGCCACTGATTTTCTGTATCATAATAATTGGTAAGAATCAGTGAAATGGTGGCGAAGGACTGTCAAAACAACAAGGTGATCTATAAAGTGTCATGGTCCTCATGCCTTCAGATCAATGCTCAAGAACTGTAAGTCGAGTCAAAGGATGGAACATAATTGAAACGACCAAGCCCCCATTATAACTGGTTTCAAAGTACTTTCCCTGGGCACCATCCGATGCCCCACACCGGGGGCTCACAAACCTGAGTTGTGCCCTTCACAAAGCAGCTGGAGGAAGCGGAAGAGGTCACAGGTGAACTCGTCGTCCTGTAGAACCTTTTCTCCTGCAGGAAATCCAGAGGGGTCGGATATCAGAGGTTTCAGCCACCCTCGTCTGCCCTCCCACGCCGCCCCCACCCCCGTAACACTTGCATGGGGTCTAGCATCGTCTGAACCCAGGCAGTCACGCACCATAGCCACTTTCTATCTGAAGCACATGAGGTCATGCGCTTGGCAGATAGATGCACTTTCTCTGTGAGAAAAAAAAACACTGGGATACTAAAATTCAGATTTCTCTCTGTTAAAGTAGCAGCATGGGTTTGGCAACATTTTAGAACAACCTGAAGATTCAAACTACTTTTTTTTTTTTTTTTT